CCAACCAGTGAAATCAAATATCTGCAGGTATAGCGTCAGCATGTTTTGAAGCTTCCCAGGTGACTACACTGTGCAACCAGGGATAAGAACCAGTGATGTCACTATTCTGTTCCTCAACTTTGTTCATTTTTGTTCTGGCTATTTCTTTTTTTTTTTTTTTTTTAAAGAGACTGAGTTTTTGCTATAGGGCACGTGTGCTCACCAGAGAGGTAGAAAGAAAGAAATTAACCCCCAGAAGGGGTGGCCACACTACAATCCCTTCTCCTCCATTCTCCTCTCCAGATTTTGGGCACACACTCACACGCACCTGACATGAGTTTCAAGACACCAGGTCTGGGACTCGAACCACGGTCGACTACATGGGATCCAGCAACATAACCATTATGTCATCTGCTGGTCCCTAGGGGCTACTTATTGGAAATATTTCTTGAAAGTTGGACTTAACACAAAATTCAATTCTGCCATTAGATTTTTCTTTTTATTGTGCTTTCTGGCTTACATATAGTCATTGTATGTCCTTGTGGGGTACAGTATCCTTTTTCAAAGCGTGCATATAATATCTAATAATCAAATCAAGGATACATATTCCTCTTATTCGATATTAGACATTATATTATATTTGCACATTGGATAATAGTTCTAGCTTTTTCGACAAAAGTATTTATTGGATTGTCAGAAAATTTTTTTACACTGCTGTGGTATACCATTGCATAATCTATTAACACTTTTTTACATGCATATATTCATATTTTCTCACTTATGTGTATGTGTATATGTGTGTGAGAAAGAAACAGAAAAGAGTGCTATAGTCTGAATATGTCCTCCAAAATTTTAATGTTGAAATCCTAACCACCAAAGTGGTGATATTGCAGGGGATGGCCCTTTAGGGGGGTTTTGTCCTTATGAATGGGATTGGTGACTTCATGTAAGAGGCCTCAGAGAGACCCCCATTCTTTCCATCAGGTGAGGACACAACAAAAAGTTGTCAGTCCACAACCTAGGAGAGAGCTTGCATCCTGATCATGAACTTCTAGAACTATGAGGATTAAATTTCTGTTGTTTATAAGACACCCAATTATGATCCTTTGTTATAGCGGCTTACATGGACTAAGAGTGAGAGAGATGGAGAAAAGGAGTATTTCTTCTAGAAAACCTCATGATCTCTAGCAAATTCAGTGTTTTTTGTTTGTTTGGTTGGTTGGGTTTGTTTTTTGGGGGTTTTTTAGAGGTTTTTCGCTATAGGGCGTGTGCTCACCAGACAGACAGAGACATAGAGACAGAAAGCGAAATCACGCTGCAATCCCTTCTCCTCCATTCTCCTCTCAGGATCTTGGGCGCACACGCACACGCGCCCGGCGTGAGTTTTAAGCCACCAGGTCCGGGACACGAACCGCGGTCGACTACGTGGGAGTCCAATGACATAGCCATTATGCTAACTGCTGGTTCCCTGCACATTCAGTGTTTAGTGTTTAAGTAGCTGACCACAGTAACATGTTTGAGAACAGCCTTATTAAAAAGATTTTCTTTAAACAAGAGTAGTTTAAGATAAAGAAATCACCTTACATTTCATCTTCTCCATTCTCTATCATGGACATCTTTTTCTTTTTTTTTTTTTTTTTTTTTTTTTTAAGAGGTTTTTGCTATGGGGCGTGTGCACTTGCCAGAAAGACAGAGAGAGACAGAGAGACAGAAAGCAAGAAATCACCCCCCAGGAGAGATGGCCATGCCGCAATCCCTTCTCCACCATTCTCCTCTCAGGATCTTGGGCACGCATGCACACGTGCCCGGCGTGAGTTTAAGCCACCAGGTCTGGGACTCGAACCATGGTTGACTACTTGTGAGTCCAGCAACATAGCCATTAGCTAACTGCTGGTCCCTGTAATGGACATCTTCATATGTTGTCTTACTTGACCCTCCCCACACTTGACAGGCAGCCTACAATAATCCTGAACTTACCGAGCATTAAGTAAATGAGTTTGTTTCTTTGTTACTGGTTGAGGTCCAGAATATAATTTCTTTACACAGAAGTCATTATAATAAAGTTCCACCACACTACAGAGAGAATCTGATTTTCTGACATACTAGACATTAAGAGAGCTCATTGAATTGGAATTGTATCTAAACAGAGCCATCTTTACAGCATGCCGTGGGTAGGGTAGGTCTAGTGGAGGCAAGGGCAGTTCCCAAGAATGCAGGATCCTTTCTCCTGATTTTGCTCACTTGCGTCTTTGGCTTCTGTGGAGGGAGCAGTCTTATTGCTCCTCAGCAAGCCACCTCCAGTGCCTGTCCTCACTCCCTTACTTTCCCATGCCCTTGCCATCCCATCTAATAGCCTTTGGCAAAGCTTAATGAGTTGTAAAAATATCTTACATTGCATTTAAAGATCATTACGCTATAAATGGTAAAGGACAAAAAAGAAATCACGTGCCAGTGGGATGTGGCCACACAGCTGCTAGGATATGGGAACGTAGGGGCGGTTGTTGAACTCATGTCCCTTTTAGCATAGCACCCACTTCAGTGGAATAGCAGAGCCTGAAATGAGATGCATGTAAGTAGGCCCAAAATAGTCTATGTAAAGTCCTTAGCATAGTTCTTGTCAGATAGTAAATTGTTCAGTAACTGTAAGCTGCTCCAAACCCCCTTACAACCTGGCAATCCTGTGTCTGTAGAAGTCTGAGGAGATCAGAATTGGCCTTTAGTGCCTTTACTGTTTATTCTTTGTGCTTGCTTTTCATTCTACCTGGAGGGTTTGTCTCGCAGAAAACTGCATAGCACATAGCTTCCTTACTTTATTCAGGTCTCTGCTTGAAAATAGCTTCAAAGGGGTTGTTCTTTTCTATAGCTGTCACACAGCACCACACTAGAATAATGTAATTCTCTCCATACAAAAAGTATACATTAGATAAGCACCAGAAACGACAAGACACACCCCAACGTGATATAAATCCAGCATACGTTTTTTTACTTATTCCAAATACCATCATGGGTATACAATAAAAGATAAATTTATAAATGAAATACGTAGCCTTGCATGGTTGCAGACACTTCAGGTAGTAAATACTAACTGAACGTGAGAACCAGACAAAGTGAGAAAGGAGATTCTCGAGACTCATACAGACTAAGAAAGAGGGTTCGCTGGAGAACTGGTTTTAAGTCTGAGCAGTCATTAAATGGGTATGTCATTAAGCGAGGAGTGACTACTATACAGTTGTTTACAGTCTGGCTCTCGTATACCTACATTAGAGCATAGAGTCCATGGGAGAGAAGTCATGGACTCTCTTGTTCCCAGAATACTGCCTGACATACAGTAGGTGCTCAATACAGTAGGTGCTCAATAAATAGATGCTGATCAATGAGTTGGAAAGGTCAAGACTGATACAAGAAAAGCAGTTAAGAGCTGCCATTATGGGGCCAGCAGGTGGCATGCTGGTTGGAGCACTGGGCTCCCACATGGCTGACCGCAATTCAAGCCCCAGATCTAGCAGCTTGCTCTCTCTTTTCTCTTTATCTCTTTTTTTGGGGAGAATGGGGAGGTTTTCACTATAGGGTACGTGCACTCACCAGACAGACAGAGAGAGACAGAGAGACAGAAAGCGAGAAATCACCCCGAGGGGGGATGGCCATGCCACAGTCCCTTCTCCTCCATTCTCCTCTCGGGATCTTGGGCACTCACGCACACGCGTCTGGCGTGAGTTTAAGCCACTGGGTCCAGGACTTGAACCACGG